GCTCTCCAGTCCTAGATCCATGGATTAAAACTGGATGCCGGTGACGGTGGCCGGCGACCAGGTAGGGTGGCGGACGTGCGAAATGGCAGGAGGGAGGAAGTGGTGCGAAAGCGTAAGGGAGCGCCCGGTTATAACGACGCCTTCGTGTATCATAAGTTAGGCTGTGCGCGGGTGTGCGCATACGTTTAACGGCGACGTGTCCGCGGCGCGCGTGTATCGGTGAAGGGCGACCGAGGAGAGCAAGGCGACCGTGCAGCTTACTTAACCACCATTTAAACCTGAAAGCGAGCTTTGGTTCTCCGGCGAGATCAAGCTGTGACACTAACGGCCTAACGCTGTACCGAAATGCCCGAAACAACCGGCCCTCCTGAGGGCGGCGAATCGCTCCTCGGGAATACAACCGGCTCTGTTATCGGATTATATTTCCCTGGTGTTCCTCCGTACTCGCAGCGCGATTGATTCGGAAAGGTGGAAGTGTAATCGTCATTACCACCCTGCCGCCAAGTTACCACCGCGTCGTTTGTCAAAGGACGCGTCCCTGACGGAGCTAAAAATTAAACGTCAACTTTCCGCGTCCGCTTTCTCTCACGTGCGAATTTCTCTCGCGTTCTGTCCCATTTTCTTCCGCCGTTCCACACGTGATACTCGGATACGATAAAGACGAGAATAATTGACGCGAGTGCCTCGCGAACGCGTCACAGCGTTGCTCGTATCGCCTAGAAGCTACTTTGTCCCCGATCCGGCTGGCTACTTTGAATCTCGGAGAGTAATCAAGGTGTAACTGCAATGTGCTCGTATGCAAATGTGGACATAGGCTGAAGCAAGTTGTCGCACTCATGTGAATGGACCATTCTAGAAATCCCTACCGCCATTGTAGTCATTGTTCGTCGAGCTGCCCTCAAGTTTTGAAAGATACTCCCGACTCTCTTGCCGAGGGTGCGACGATTACTCGTTGGCGCTTTAGCGCATTTCTGCCGTGTTTAATAACGCGCCGTTCGATACGGAAATAATGCAACGGGACGGCCGACCGAACAAATACAGGGGCTGTCGTCATTAAAAACCTTTTAAATGCCTTTTCCGAAAATATATACTCGCTTTACACTACACTATCGGTAATTGTGACATCGATTAGAGCCTCGATTTATGTTTCAATATTGCATCGTTTGCAAATTACGGCCAATAATTAATTTGCGTGGCTAAAATTTCAAGTTGCATCGTTAAAATTTCTAGTTAGTACCGCGCGAATCGGCAATTTGCAATTAAATTCCTCCGTTAAATATAATTATGCCTTGCATTTAACACGAAAAAACACACACTTTTCCTATAAATATATATATATATATATATATATATATATATACGTGGAACGTGGAATATATATATATATATTTCCACGTTCTCGCAGAAAATTGTATACTAATTTGTAATTATTAAGTCGTTTTTCCACGGGTCTCATCTCCACATTCGATAACGATATTTTTATTCTGGAAATTTATACTAATTAACATAATAACAATATTTGACGTGATGTGCGACTCGAGTCGCGTTCTACAATATACGACGTATATCAATCATTATATTTTTCGGGAATAGCCGGACCACGTTTATTATTCTTTTATGGAAAACTGTTCCGCGACACTGTCGCGAAATAGATACAGTATTTTCGGCGAAGAATAACCGATCTTCTCAGCTTGACAGTTTCGCAAAAACACGAAGAAAGCCATCATATCTCGTGATGACATTTCGTGACGGTAGGTCACACGTACATATTTATATATATGAGACACGTACACACATCACGTATATGTGTGTGTGTATACATGAAGCTAAAATTTATGGTGCAATATTCATAAAGGCTTGCCCGAAAAGCAGAAGCGCTAAACCGCGTTTCACGCTTGGTGAGCGATATTCGCCGGCATGGCGCTATTCATATTTGAAGGAAATGCGCTGACCGGCACGTATAAGAATCGCGAAATTGCTCAGCGACGGGCGTATCAATATAAATTTGCGATAACCCTCTCCTCCTTCTCCGAAGTCTTCGAGTTGGTTATCACGGGCGAGCTAAACGGCGCTTCGTCAACGGTACGTTCGGACAGATTCGCTTAATGGTTATCCATAATACGTTTGACCCAGTAATACAATCCTCGTCGTAGCGTAATGTCGTACACTCGATCGGAGGATCGCGCACCGGATAATTAATCACGAATGTTTATCGCGCCAAGTGCGAGGCATGGGAGGCCTTTCCGGGATAAACCAGCTGAGGCAGGGAAGACCGTATACCTGGGATCGAGGGAAAAGGAGCATTGGACGGAGCAGAGGCACAGAGGAGAGGCGTGAGGAGCATTGGTGGTAGAGGAGAGAAAGGCGATAGGGCGGGGGGGGGGGGG